GTGTGGGTGTGCGCGTGCGCGTGTGGGTGTGCGCGTGCGCGTGTGGGTGTGCGCGTGCGCGTGTGGGTGTGCGCGTGCGCGTGTGGTGTGGTGTGCGCGCGTGTGGTGTGGTGTGCGCGCGCGTGGTGTGGTGTGTGCGCGCGCAATTCCACCCGCAGGCAACTGTGTGTAAGTGTGGTCTGTGTGTGGGTGTGTGGTGTGATGTGTGTGTGTGTGTGTGTGTGTGTGTGTGTGTGTGTGTGTGTGCAGTTTGCACATTCTCCCAGTGTCTGTGTGGGTTTCCCCTGGGCACTCTGGTTTCCTCCCACAGTCCATAGATGTGCAGGTTTAGGTGGATTGGCCATACTAAATTACCCATAGTGTCCAGGGCTGGCCTACTCCTGCTAGTTATTTCTGTGTTTCTAAGGGGTGAGGGAACATTCTAGAAAAGTACAGCCAGGCTCTTCCCCACATCCCAGCCCCTGAACCATCAATCCCATGTGGGAACGTCCATAGTCTATTCGTGATTGGTGCAGTGATTTCTACACACTTGCAAACCTCCCTGGCCGATGCTAATGGTGAAGAGGCCACTGAAGGTGCAGCTGCTAATCTGGCGTTAAGACTGCGGGGCAGAGATAGGCCTCAAGGTCAAATGCTGGTCAATTATTGTTCACAAGGGAAGATCGCAGAATGCCAGTTGCCTGTAACTTGCTGGCTCTGCCAGAGTCAGTATGAGAACAATCTCGTCAACACCAATTAATATCAGCACAAAATGGCCGCCTCTCTGACCTTCCAGGTTTCAAAGCTTGACACAAGTTGTCCTTCTGTATATACAGATTTAAATATATATTTATAAACGTCTGGACGCTCCAAAGCACCTCAAAGCCAACAAAGTGCTTTCAAAGTACAGTCATGTAGAATGTAGACTATGAAAGTTGATCCTTTCTTCCACTGGATGACAATAGAAGATCCACGTTTGACCTTATCTGTTTGAGACAAGAAAGACTATCTTCTCAGGTTTCTGCTCCCATTTGCCAATTTACAGTCCAGTTTGAGGCCATTTGGGCCTTCATCTTTGTGCTAGCTTTTAGCAATTTTACTTTGTTTATTCACTCATGAGACACAGGCATCTCTGGCTGGGCCCAGCATTTATTGCCCGTCCCTAGTTGCCCCTTGAGAAGGTGGTGGTGAGCTGCCTTCTTGAACCGCTGCAGTCCATGTGCTGTAGGTAGACCCACAAAGCCATGAGGGAGTGCTCTCCCCAACTCTTTTGCTCAGGCCTGGGATTTATTTTCCTTTTCAAGTCTTTATTATTACTAGTAAATAAGAATAACAGTATAAGATCTTATGCCCACCATTCTTGGAGCACTAGTGGTACAATGGTAGTATCCGTACCTCGGAGCCAGAAGGCCCAGTTTCAAGTCCTACCTGCTCCAGAGGTGTATAATGACAACGCTGGACGTGTTGATTAGAAAATACCTCCCCCGAACTGTCAGCAAATAGGTCACAGATTATAGTGATGAGAATGTCTGAAAAGATTTCTCCCCATCTTCCCTCTGTTCCTTTTGCCAATGACCTTAAATCTCTGACCTCCGATGATTGACCCACCCGCTAACAGAAACATTTCTCATGATCGACTTGTTTGGAACCCTCTTCAATCATGGGACACCCCTCCAGCAAATTCGTTCATTCGTGTATTCTAAAGGGAATAATGCTAAATCTCTGTCTAACTGATGGCCCTTATCCCCTGGTGTCATGCTGGAACAAGCTCCCCTCGGCCTTGACTTGCTTCCTCCAGGGTTGTGCCTACAGCATTCGACACAATATTACAGCTGTAGGAACGCAACCTCTTGTAGTGCACAGTCAGACGTTGTGTAAAACGGCCGTGACACTGTATTCTGCCCTCCATTCTGCTACCCTGATGCACTTTGTACGGTACGATCTGCTTGTATAGCACACAATACAACACTTTTCACTGTATCTCGGTACACATGATAACAATATATCAAGCTCAAAATTTGCTCTTGGGGCTGTGGTCAGTTGTGGCATAGCCATATTTATTGAGTCTGTGTGTGTGTGTGTGTGAGAGAGAAGAGAGAGGCTGGAAGGAAGCAGCACTGTGTTTATTTGAACCTTATTGTGAATATGAAATTATTAAGGAATCATATTAATTCCTTAATTAATATGCATTTGTCTTTTCTTCACTCCTAGGTAATGAAAATCAAGCCCCATCAGGGGAACCATTTAAGTCAGATGCACTTTGTAGAACACAGTAAATGTGTTTGCAGGTGAGAGTCTTTTCGTGTATAGTCTCAGTTTGTTTTACATGGGAAGCCCATCCTTTAGTTAAAACATTAAGCATTGACTCCCTGCCCTGTTGTAAACAAGTGAGCCAATTGCACACTACCTCGAGCTATCGCAGTAAACCAGGCCGTTCAGCTTATTGCTCCATGCTCTGGGGCAGGCCTAAGGTGATGCGTATTTGCTTCTTCAACACTACTTGCTGAAAACCAGCTCTTCCTGCATGTGCCTCAATGCTTTAAAGTACTGAGTGGGTTAAAGTACTGTGTTGCCTAATCAGTATTGTTTCAATATCAGTATCACATGTAACCCACTGTAATACCCAGTGCCAGAGGGGAAAGGACAGTGTGTCTGA